TTACGTTGGCCCAGAAGCAAATCTCATCGTGTCCGGCAACCATGATGTTGTGCCGAGCGACGTTCTCGGTCAAAATCGCGGCGCGTTTGCGGTCGCCGGGTTCGCGGGGGATTATGCCGTTAATATCATCCTGAGGCAGCACAGCCAAAAGGCGGACGGCACCGTATGAGTGCAAGCCCGTTTGCCATAGACAGGTTTCCATGAAGCTAGAAATCCATCGGGTTGTAGTCATGTGGTCTTTCTGCGTGGGCGGGCGCGTCAAGTTGGCGACCACCAGCAAGTTGGGATTGCAAGGTAGTGCCCCGCTGGTATCGGCATTCTCAGGTCCCTGCTCAGGAAAATGTTCTTTCAGAAGCTCCTCCCAGGCGGAGACGTTACGAGGGTTTGTGTCCAGCAATTTGTAGCCCTCCCCTTTCTCAGTTAGAGGCTTCAGGAACTTGTCAAAGATAAACAAGTCCGGCTCTAACATAACATGCCGACGCGGACGAAGGAACTCGTTGACTTTCGACGAGAAGAGTCCGCAGCCTGGCCATAAATCGAGAATATCCATGGGTGCATTGCGGTGAAGGAACGGTGCGAGGCGCTGCATAACGTGGACTAGAAGCATTCCATGATTAGCGTCGACTGGTATCGTATTACGAGTCGAGTGAAGGCGCAACTAACCACCAAGCTCTTCACTGACTAATTCCGGCTTCGTCACATGGCGTTTCAATCTATGATTATGGAGATGATCATAGAGAGCAGTAGCCATGGGAGGACAGGTAGAGTCAGGGGCTTTCCATCGTACCCTGCTCGCCGCGTTTTTTGATTTTGAGACGCCCTTTACCACCGACTTGACTGGGAGTTTTGCCGCCATTTTAGAAGGTGTTAGGGCGATTGTAGCACAACTGCCTCAGCCGAGTGCTCATCGCCAGATTGAGCGTTATGATGCTGGTTGCAAAGGTGGAGGGAGATAATGCAGAGAAGAGGGGAGGCAAAAAGAGGGTGGGTGTGGTTTGAGAGGAGGTTTTAAAAATGTTGGAAAATGCGGGCGGAGGTTCCGCTCGCCGCAGCTTAAGCTCCTCCCTCTCTCTTATCTCCTCCGGCCTTCACGCCGCTGCTTCTTCCCCTCTCCGTCCGTCCATCCCTCCAACCATTTTTCCGTGGCAACGAACCTGAAGAGTATGAAACACAAGTCCAGATCATCTCTCCAAAGCTCAGCCACTCGTTGACCCTCCTTTATTGTACCTAGGACAGACGCTCGGTCAAAGATGGCCGCCCATCTGCCCTCAACAGCCGGTGCGGGGGTTTCCTCTCCACAGAGCGTCGAGTCGATCACTCGCTTGGCTCAGGATTACGAATACAACCCTTCCGTTCCTTTACGGTACTGGCTACGGACAGCCTCGACACTCATTAGAGAGGTACGGTACTCTACTTACTCTGTCGCCTATGCCCGCGCCGAACTAACACAAACGCCGTTGTTGACAGGCTCGCATCTACGAACGAGAACATCACGAAGAACAAGCGTACCTACTACTGTTTAGACATGCTCAGCTCGTGCTGGTTCATCTGGCTGAGCATCCGGAGGCCAAGGATGAGAGGAATCGCAAAGCCTTGGTGGAGGCGGAGAAAGAGGTCAAACGAAACCTGAAGGTTCTCGAGACCCTGAAGCCCCGCATAACCAAACGCTACGAACGTTACCTCCACTTGATGCGCGAACGGCAACACCGCGCCTCGGTTACAGCCACACCTGCATCTCCAGCAATTCGGCGACAACTGCCTCAAGATCCTGCGTTAGCCGGTGTTGCAAAACCCTTGGAGGCTGGAGAGAATCGCGACCTGGCCGTGAAGCTGGCCCGGACGGAGATCAGTCGCAGAGCCACCGTTCGCGAGGCCATACGTCAAGCTGGTATCTCTCCGGAGGAGGAGCAGACTCGTCGTGCAGCCGGAGTGTGGGGTGACTGGGAACATGCTCTACGCAAAGATGCCGATGACGACTTGAGCCAACGCATTCACAATGTGCGACTGAGGATGGAGGGCGGTCCGCAGGCGGACCTTCCTGCGCCGGGTAACAACAAGAAACATACGACGTCGTCGCGTCCAGCTGCACCAGGCAGCAGCGCGACCTACAAATATCCGACTGTTCCCCGTCAACGGCCTACTGATATTACCTCCCCCTCCGTTCAAAAAGAGCTGCATGGTCTCTTTCCGCCTGCTCCAGGGGTCCCCGCACTGCCACCTAAAGAACCGCCCCACGGCCATGGACTGGATGGAATGTCAGCGCCTCCGCCTCGTCCGGACAAGCGCTCTCCAACATCCACACCGGCATTGGTACCAGCAATTCCTGCTAAGGTACGGCCAAAGTCTGACAGTGAGCGCACCGACCTAGATCCGTCCAGCTTCACTTTCAAGCCGTCTGCCTACCTGGAAAATGGCACGCCATTGCGGACTCTGTTCCTCCCGCCCGAGCTACGGACACACTTCCTGTCCCTGGCCGCACCGAACACACAAAGGAACCTGGAGACATGTGGGATACTGTGCGGTACATTGATCTCGAATGCACTGTTTGTGTCGCGACTTTTGATTCCAGAGCAGACCGCCACGTCAGATACGTGTGAGACAGTGAACGAGACAGCTATCTTTGACTACTGTGACTCAGAGGATCTAATGGTGCTGGGCTGGATTCACACACACCCAACCCAGACGTGTTTCATGAGCTCACGCGATCTACACACCCATTGCGGATATCAGGTAATGCTTCCGGAGAGCATAGCGATCGTATGCGCACCGAGTAAGATGCCAGACTGGGGTGTTTTCCGATTGACTGACCCTCCGGGGTTGAGGACGGTGCTCAATTGCACGCAGCCGGGCCTGTTCCATCCTCATGGGGAGGCAAATATATATACTGACGCTCTTCGCCCAGGGCATGTATTTGAAGCCAAGGGCTTGGAGTTCGAGACCGTCGATCTACGGCCCAACGGGTCCAACTTTTAAGATGCATCATCTAGCGAGTAAGCCTATATCGAAGAAGTTTAAGTTTTCCGAGATATATTGTTCAGGAGTGTTGTGCTTGGGTGCCGATCGTCGGCCTGTAAGATTGAGACCAAGCCCAGATTGGCCAGTTTAGTGTCTTGGTTATTCCGTTCCCAGCGGATTTGTTGTCCCAGGATTATTCTACATGAGCTCTTACCCACGAGCAGTTGAATCCACGATGCCAACGTCGGATCTACGCAACGGCGGTTTTGTCTCGGTGGGGACTCACCATCTGTTCGCCACGCTGAGCGGCATTTCTCGGCTTGCTGGGCACCCGCTCGTGATTTTTATCCCTGGCGCGGGGGATGTGGCTTCGTCCTACTGCGCCGTCGCACGCCGAGTCGGCACCTTTGCGACGCTCCTCTTATACGATCGGGGTGGACTAGGTCGCAGCGAAGATGGTCCAGATCTGGTGCACCATCGCGCCACTACGGCTGCCCAAGAACTGCACACACTACTTGACCAGGCGCAGCTGTCACCTCCCTACGTTGTTGTCGGTCATTCCTATGGCGCGATCATCGCACGCGAGTTCCTTCATCTGAATCCTCGAGCGGTGGCTGGGATGGTCCTTGCGGATGGCTCGACGGAACGGCAGCCTGAGCTCTTGCAAGATCCCGAGCTTGATATTGCTGCTGTGCAGGGCGGGTTGAATTTTGCACAGGTGACTGGTTTGCGGGCCAACACTCAGTTGTCGCGAGAGGAGTGGCGGACGCGGGCAAAGGATATTGCCCGCGGGCAGCACACCTGGACAGCCGAGGCCAATGCTTTAATAGAGCTGTGTCAGACACTGGGGGCGAAAGAGCAGTATCGACACCAAGCATTAGGAGAGAAGCCGCTGTCGGTGATTCGGTGTCGTGGGTCGCTGGACTACCGAAAGATCTACGAAGCGGGTGTGGCTGCGGGCAATGGTAGTGAAGCGCAACAGAAAGCATTTGAGCGCCTGCTAGAGCGCTGGGATGGATTGGACCAGGCGATGCAAGAGGACCAGCTGCACTTGTCGAGTCAAAGCCGCCTGGTGTATTTGGAAGACTGTGGGCATCATGTCCATTTGTTGCGTCCGGAAGTAGTCGCCGACGAAGTACGCTGGGTGCTAGGAATGATCATAGCCGACAAGACTGGTCGAGTTTTAATTTAATTCTGGTGCTATTGCGCGTAATGCTAGTTGGTGGTGAGTGACTAGTGAGGTGATGGTGATGGTGGTGATGGTGATGGCGAGGGTATGTCATGTTGATCGAAACAATCGGAAGTAACGGAGACTTGACAGTCAACCAGCTGTCTCGCCATTCGCTTGATAATAACTCACCTCCTCCATCTACCTCTTTTCACTCATATCTACCTGCATATCCAGCAGGATCTTTATCAGATGCTTCATACTCCATCCGGTGCTTGCCGTGTGGGATAGTCAAAATACACTATTCCTGATCGGGCATCCCCAGGCTTGGCATTGCTTGTCGCATTTCATCTTCTCATCTTCTCTCTTCTTCACTTATCTTCTTCGATCCTCGTCCTTTTCTCCCTCTCTCCATCCGACATTGCTATCCTGGCTCAGCCTTGGGACTTAGCATCTTCCAAATCTCTCCCCTCTTCGTCGGGCCGCATTATTTTGCGCTTTCTTCCTAAGAAATCGCCTGCCCGCATCGCTCAAGTCGCTTGTCGCTTCCTTGCAGCTGGACGAGTCCCGCTTCGTGCAACCGCCTAAGTGAGTCCGTCTCCTGTCTCTACACCTCAGTTCCTCCTACGTGTATGAACCCGGGCGGCTTCAAGCTTTGTTTCCGGTCGCAAGCTATCCCCAGTACTGTGCAGTGGTCACAGCCGGTGCCCCCGCTGCTCCTGCACGTGCTCTATTTGTCGAAGTGGACGGTGTATGAGGACCGAGGTTGCGATGCCATATTGTCGTCTGTATGATGTGGACAGAATGTTACTCCGAGGAGCAGCGAGCTCTGGTCGCCTTTCACGGAGCTATTAGGACCTGTCACTGACCGGGAAGCACAGAAATCTAAAGGCTCCTTCCCATAACTACTACCCTCCGTTACCTACCGCCCACCATGCCGATGGACGCGAAGGAGATCGAACTCAAGGCCAAGGCTCTGACCAAGGCGGCCACCCAGAACGAGCCGCCCGCCAACATCGTCGCCCTGCTCAAGGAACTACAACAAGGCGTGCGAGCGACGGAGGATCTGCTGCGGTCGACGCGCGTGGGTATCATCGTCAACAAGTTCAAGCAGCATAAGGCGCCGGAGGTGGCGCGGCTGTCGAGCGAGATCGTATCGAAGTGGCGCAACGAGGTCAACAAGCAGAAGGCGGGCGCATCGCCGGGCCCCAGCCAGCGCTCGAGCAGCTCGCCGCGGCCGACCCCGAACGGCACCGCCGCGTCGACGCCCTCAGATAAGGCCGCGAAACTGTCCGTGCCGCCGGACAAGCGCACGTGGAAGGCCGACGGGGTGGACGTGAACCAGACCTCGAACCGCATCCGCGACAGCTGCATCGGCCTGATGTACGACGGGCTGTGTTTCAACGCGACGGAGGCGCCGCGGACGGTGCTGGCCAAGGCCTCGACCGTGGAGGCGGCGGCGTTCAGCGCCTACGGGCCGGAGACCAAGGAGCAGTACCGCACCAAGATCCGCAGCCTGTACCAGAACCTGAAGAACAAGTCAAACCCGATGCTGCGCGTGCGGATCCTGAGCGGGGAGGTCACGGCGGAGCACTTCGTCAAGATGACGCACGACGAGCTGCGGTCGGCGGAGCAGCAAGAGCGCGACCGCAAGATCCAGAAGGAGAACATGGACAAGGCGATGGTGGCGCAGGCGGAGCGCAGCATCAGTACCAGCCTGCAGTGCGGCAAGTGTGGCCAGCGCAAGGTGACCTACACCGAGGCGCAGACGCGCAGTGCCGATGAACCGATGACCCTGTTCTGTACTTGTATGAATTGTGGAAAATCATGGCGGCAGTGATTTCTTTCTGTATTTTCTGATTCGGGGATTACTTTTTTGTTCTATATCTTATCTGCGACGGAGGGGCGGCGGCGTGGAGTTACTTTACCTTGGGCTGATCAAAAACATTTCCTGTCGTTCTTGACATCAAGTGACCGCTTATGTCATCGTTCATAACCTGACTGCATAGACTGCACTGGCCATTGCAATCAACGTCATTCGCCTTTCATCATTGAGCTGGACCATAAGTAATGGCTTGGGTTGCTTCTGCGTGTTAGCTCTGAATCCAATCAAACATTCTTCTTGCCAACTTCAACAAGCTACCTAACCAGGTGACATCGATTGGCCTATACTCCATTCCACACCAGCTACCTACCATACTTAAGTCTATACAACCCCACAGCCACCTCCATACAGCCACCGAATAACAACCAAACCACCACCCCACACCCCTCTACTTCTTCCCAACCCAAACCCAATACACAAACCCCCCCAAAATGGCCCCCGCAACCCCCACAAGCGACGCAAGGAAGCGTTCTCTCCTCCTCCAGAGAACCCACACCTTCCTCACGCACCTCACCACCCAAGCCCCACTCACCCCCACCCTCCTCTCCAATTTCTCCAGCGAGATCAAAATCCACGAGCACGGGCTCCCCGCCCTCGCCCCCTTCCTGGGCAGGGATTACGTCGGCCTGGACGCCGCGCGACGGTACTTCGAGGAGATGGGCGCGCATCTCCGGTACGAGGGGATGCGGTTCGAGGAGGAGGCGGAGTGGGTGGTGGATGTTGCGCGGGGGGTCGTGGTGGTGCGCGGGTGGGCGCGGTTTGAGGCGCGGCGGACGGGGCAGGGGTGGGGGGAGGGGTTTGTTTATCGGTTGCGGATGGGGGGGGATTCTTGCGAAATTGAGGAGGGGGATTTTCCTGAAGGGGAGGGGGAGGTGAAGGTGAAGGAGTATTTGGTTTGGGCGGATACGGGGGCGGCGTATTTGGCGTTGCGGGGGGAGTTGCGTGGGGAGGGACAGGGGGAGGAGCTGGGGCTGGGGCAAGAGTCTGGATTGGGGTTGTGAGGGCTGGATGAGAAGCGGATTGTTGCCATGGTGGAAGGGGGTGATTGTGTGGATGATTTGATTTGTTTGAAGGGGAGGTTGATGCAGTGGGATTATGAAAGCGCAAGTTTGTGGATTGAGTGCAGAAGTATATGCTACTACCTATCAGTCCTTGCCGGCGATATCCCAATCAATCCACGCAATGTTGCCCGCCGCGCCCTCCGGCGTCAGGAACACCTTCTCCAACGAATCGTACCGCTTGTACTCCTGCGCATCCAGCAGGACCGCCACCCCGCCCGCCTTCCGGCCCGTGGCATTGAAGCCCGGCCCGTAGGCGCGGTACTCGGCCATCAGCGTCTGGTTGGCCGCCCACCGGTCCTCCCAGTTGATGTAGCCGGACGGCTCGATGCTGCCGTCCTCGTAGCTGTTCACAAAGATGGACCGGTGCAGCGAGTTCCACGGCCGGCCGAGCGCACATTGGCCCTTGATCTCCGACACCAGGGACGAGTTGGCGGCGTTGACAGTCGAGTCGACGATGTACACGCCGTAGTTGTTCTCGAACGTCGTGTTCGTGCCCTTCCACGCCGTGATGCCGCCGCCGCACGATCTCAGAAGAATGGAGGACGATTGGATCCAGGCCGTGCCAAACCCATACAGGAAGTCGGTTTGGCCGGCGATCACGGACTTGTGGAAGTAGGCATTGCCGAGTTTGCCAATGTAGACCTGGCAAAAAGCGTTAGTGGGAGCTTTCAATCGAAAGGAGGGCCATGACCGTACGGTGTCCTGGTAGGAGTAAAAGCCAGAGTAGTAGAAGCCTCCGTTGGCACGGCTGAAGCTGATCGCATGGGCAGGCCCATCGCTGTACTCGGCCCACAGGTTGCGAAAGTCGATGTTGTACACTCGGAAGTCGGTGTTGCCAAACGGCGTGTCCGCGGGAACAGCAAACCCCGTGGTACCCGACCCAGTCAGGCTGGCGTCCAGGGTGGGCGAGACGATCAACACGCTAGAGTAGACATTGTCCACCGACTGGCCGGTGTTGTCCTGGTTGGCAGCAGCCCAGGTGATGGTGACGCGGTTGCGAGTAGGGTCAGTAAGAGCGCTGCGATCGGGTTGCTGGCCGAGCAGAGTGACCGGGCCCGGGCGCGTCAGGTTGAGTTGCTCATGGTAGGTTCCTGCAAGCACCAGAATGGTGTGGGAGGAGTTGTCGTTGGGCAGGGAGGCAAACGCAGCCTGGATAGACTTGAATTGAGCGGCGGGGTGCGACGAGTTGGACACGATGATCGTGCCCTCAGGGCATTTCAGACTCGTCTGGCATGTCTCACGAGTGGCTGTCGAGAGACGCGGCTGGAGCGCAGCCGAGTGCACAAGCAGAACGTGCAGAAGAAGCAGAAGACCACGATAGAGAAGCATCGTGACTGTGGGTGCTATCCCTGGACTCGCTGACCCCGGCGGTCCTGTTCACCGCATCTTATATGCGGAGGCGCAAATCCGGGGTTATAGAAGAACGGGCGCTGTCAAGCTTCGGCGCCGGCTCTACCCCAGAGCACGGCTGGGGAAACCGGAGAAATCAGTCTGGGGACGGAGAATTGGATTCCGCCTGTGAGGGTGACCTGGAGATGGCGGCAGGAGAGTCGAGCATTGCGGTTGGTGGATGAGGTAGTTGGCCGAGTAGCGTGCAGAACCACAAGATTAAGTCAAGTTGAAAATGAGCTCATGCGTGCACAAAGTCAATATCGGACATCGGTCTTTGCGGGAGAATCCTTAAGAGTGAGGGGAAACACGGCCCATACATTGCGGGGTTATAGCCTCATCAGGCAATGGTCGATTGCCCAGGAGCAGTCGCAATCAAGGTGATACGTCGTGGAGAATTGCCCTTTTCAGTTCAATGACAAGAAGGGAGGCTCTCTGGCAGTCATCGTATTGTTCTGCTTTGGATTCTCGAAGACCAGCACTCCTGTGAGTAGCTCTTGGTCGACAGCTCACGCTCACCAGAAATGCATCAATCCATGGCCTATATCTGTTATATCAGGTCCTCATGATCGAGAGCAAGTGCAGTCACTGTCACACTCAATAAGACCAACGGCAGCAGTGAAAAGTGGCCACTGCTTTTCAGAGTGCGCACAGAGGGTTGATCTCCCCGGGAGAACACCCAATACTGTATATGTCGAGCAGGTATATGGCTGACAGTGGCTTGTGAGCTTAACCCGAGCCAAGATGCTTCAAGGGTCGTGACATGGAGGTAACGCCTCTCCGAACTGGAAGCAGAAAGTGAGTGTGGTGTTGTAAAGTTCAACAATGGGGATTTGAAGAAGTCAAAACAATCAATTTCAGCCTAAGGCACCCAGAACGTCAGCTGGTGGTAATGTGACTGCCAGCCAGAAGCCTCACCATCTCTCGTCAGCACAATTGTATCTTTTTATGACACCGATGCTACACTTCGAGTCTCCACCATTCCTTTATTCGAATCACAGTTGCAGGCTCGATTCCGGACGAAACGACGACCTTGAAACAGCATCAAGATGGTGCATCCAAACCTTGTAGAGGTCGACTCCCTCGAGGCTGTCCTCCTAGTCGACAATGACCTCGACCCGATGTCGACCATTGCGCCCGATACAGTTCAGATCTCAGGCCTTATGCGTACGCTGGCCACACAATCCCCGCACAAGATCTCGGATCGCGGGGATGCACACAAGGAGCTCCACATGGAAGATATTTGCTGTGCCGCGCATGGTCTGTCCATTCTTGTGGTATGTTTGACGTCTCTTTCATAGTGACCTAGATCCACAGAGAACGGACAATGACTGACCGCGCAACAGAAAGCGACTAAGGACGGCAAAAGTCATGCTCTGCTCTTCGACGCGGGACCCGAAGGTAGCGTGTGGGAGCGCAACGTCAAGAGACTACGGCAAGACTTGTCTTCCGTGGAGTTGGTCCAGTTATCGCACTGGCATCGAGATCACTCGGGTATGAAGATCTCTGCGAGCATCGAGCACAGAATTGCTGACGGTATCAGGGGGCTTGACTCGAGCTATTCAGATGATCACAGAGGCTCGACAAGCCAATAGCACTCCAGGCGAACTAATCATCGACCTGCATCCAGATCGTCCAGATTACCGAGGCATGGCTATCGGGGACGATATCATCTCTCTTCAGGCTGATCCGACATTCGAGGAACTGCAAGCAGCGGGCGGGACCATCGACAAGCGAGTTGAAGGACATACAGTCCTCGATGATTACTTCTTCATCTCAGGGGAGATACCCCGGCGGACCTCCTACGAGACTGGCCTGAGGGGTGGTATGCGATTCAGTACTGAGGAGAACGACTGGTCCTCCGATGAGGTGATCGCTGACGAACGGTTTTTGATGTGTAACCTGAAAGGTGAACGCCCTTTCCTCATGCTTGGGGACTCGTATGCTCACTGAACCAGGGAGAGGAATTGTTATGTTCACCGCGTGCAGTCACGCAGGGGTCGTCAACTGTGCACGACATGCGGTTGAAACCCTCGGTGGCTCTGTGCCTCTCCATGCGGTTATCGGGGGTTTCCATCTCGCAACTAGCGAGGCAGCACAGACAGAGAGTACCGTCAGGGATCTGAAGAAGCTCGATCCGGCGGTTGTTCTGCCTGGACATTGCTCGGGATGGAGGGCCAAATTTGCGATTGAGAGGCATATGCCGGGCGCGCTGGTTCCGTGCTCGGTAGGGATGAGGATCTCGTTCTGATGTATGTCTACAAGGCCTCGGGCCGACGACCTGTACGTGCTTTTATTCTTCTTTTGAGGATGTCGCCCTGGCTGTGATATGTGCATCCACCCTTAGACGCGGAGTAGGTCAAGCTGTCAATATACACCATTCCACTAGGTCAAGTCGGCGCTGCTGTACCATTATCTAGCCAGAGCAGACGAAACACAAATCATACAACATGGTAATTCTCGCTGACGAGCTGGAGGGCTCAGGATACGCTAGACAGACTGACTCGCCCATACTGTTCTCCTCGACCGATTATCCTCGGTACGGCCAGCCACCGGAACTAGAGCGCATCTCGCCGCCTATGCCCGTGTATATATAAGATCCTTCGAAGCACATGCAACTGCCAGACATTCTACACAATAATCATACAAAATGACCATCACCGCTTGTTTCATTCCAATAGCCGTGCTCACTGAGATATACTAGACAAAACAACATACTTCAAGCCACCTAACTCTCTACCAAACCACAAACCAACACACCTAACAACACCATCAGACCACCAAAAACCATCCATCTTACCTTCGATCTCACTCCCCAAACAGCCCAATATACCCACTGATAGTTTCCAGTAACAACCAGCGAAGCCCCACACCCACCTCCAGTGCATACCAATCTCAACCCCAATCAGATCTAAGACATGGCACTCGCATTCACATTCCCAATAACATCATCCACCCCCCCACAGTACAAGGCAAGCATTTGACACAGCCCGGATTCTAGGCCCTGAAGGGCATAACCTGGGTTTTTCTCTTTGGCTATGGGGTAGGTAAGGTAGCTCGGGAGCTGCGCCCCAAACATACCAACCCAAGCGTCGTCCAGCATTTTTAGGTTTGGTTGCATCCGCAGGAGATGAGGATAGAACTGTATATAGTGACCGTTCACTTACTCAGACCTTTTGCTGATTCATACATGCTCAGGGGCATAACTATGCCGCCAAGCTACATAGAGCCTTATAGCTGCATGACCATCAAAAATAGCAGAGCATATAGAACTCGAACCATGATAGCGATACTCATAAGATCAATCATACCTATAGCACTAAACACCCTTCTCCCTTCCTTTCAAGCCGGATAATAAGAGAAACCACTTTGATCAGGAATTGCATTTCATCACCCCCCAAACTCCTCCGCCGCGTGTACAGTACAGTGCATATTAGCCCACCAAACCGTACCATGCAATCCAGCACCCGCACCTGTGGATAAGATACTATACTCCCACCAAAGGTTCAGGTACAGGACAGTCTTACACAGCAAAGAAACTTCAGAGAGGAGTCCGCCCCTGTCCAATACCAAGCCCAGTAAACAGGAATAAGGTTTGGTGGTTCCCTCGTCTTGGATGAAAGATCTCCGATATGCGGCATGCATGAAGCGATGCACGACAAGTTTTGAGCCATTGGTTGGGTTTTCTTGGGACATACTCTATTCGAGGGGGTGCTGGTCTTGGGGAAGGTTAGATGGTGGTGGCTTAGTTGGGTTCATGTCATACTATATGCAAGTATGCGTATGCTTCTGTGATGATGATGGCGGGTGAGGGATGGTTGGATGGGTGCATCAGGGGATGGGTTGGGTTAGTGGGTGATTCGTTCGTTGGTGGGCGTGAATGTCGGTGTATCGTCCAGTGCTTATGCTTGGATTTGGCTATGCATGTTGGATGTGTGTGTGTTGTGGTCTGGGGTCTGATAGGTTGGGGATATCTACGGTGGACAAGGGGGAGGTTGTTGTTGTTTTTATTGTTGTTGATTCGGGAGATGTGATTTACAATGGCGATTGTCGATGGTCACTTAGATCATGAGATGTGTTGTGAGTGGATAAATTTGCACCCAATGATCCTTGAATTCGTTGTTTCTTTTTGAGTCTGCTATACTCAAAGCCGGCAAAGTCTAATCATCTAACTTTAACCTCTTGCATAGACACAACACAATGATCGACCGCCCGCCGTGGGAATCTCGGGAGAATCCTATGGCTTCAGCGCAGTTACTCGGTTAGGCCAAAACAAATCCAAGGTAACACAAGGGCCCAAATCTGCCAGATTGACAGCCAGGAGGAAGGCGCAGCAAGTACGGAGTACGCAGCCAGCAGCCAGCATTTCTTCTTCTTCTTGTTCGTCATCCCCCCTTCGCTGCGCCAAGACAATAATCGAGGGAGGAATGCACGGCAGGTCTTGGCGGTGATCGTGCGGAGGGAAAAAAGGGGGTTGGACGGGGGGAACTTGGAGAGGAGGAGTGGGTTTGATGCTCCTCTTCTCCATGGGGTTTCTACTGCAACAATAGTATATGTGTGTGTGTGTGTGTGCGTGTGTGCTGGTATCTCTGTCCGGTGATAGTCAACTCAGTGGTGCCAAGAAAGTGTATAGATCGTCCAGACGATAACGACCACTGCGAATGACAAATCCAAGAGTCTTCGCCTGCTCACCCACCCCCTTGTTTCTTATCAGCATGACATGCACAGTCAGAGACTTGAGAAAAACGGACAAGTGTTTTCATGCCAAGAGCGGCAGTCATCCTCATTTCCATCATCATCATCATCATCGTCGTCTCTGCCAAAGTGGGATTGACTTCGGAACCGCAGAATTGGTAAGTTGCGCGGCGAGAGATTTCCCCCCTTTCGATTGACACTTGATCGATTCTTCTCAATTCCCAAGATTCAGTCCGTCCCTAAATTTAGTGTCCGGGTCCATGAGTGCAATTAGATCGGGATTTGCGACCTATCCGAACACACCATTCGATTCAAAACCGTGTTGTCGTTGATTCAAAATTCAGGTCAGCGCCGTAGGAAGGGATGGGAATCTCGCCAAGAGATGCCTTGCTGGGCTCCTCTGCACATCGCCATGCTTGGCGGCCACTGAGCGACGTGACTATTGGCTTGGGGAGAGAATAGAAACACCTGGTCGGGCGGTGATAGTCGTGTGATTCCGGAGTCGAAGGGAGGGATAGAGGGAGGGAGGCGCTTGTACGACCTCGAGGTGAAATCGATTTGAGCCGGATAAGAGCAAAAGAGAAAGAGAGAGATGATTCACCGAGGCGGACATCCTCAAGCCAGGATCAGATAGACAGCTGCAACTCATGCGATGCCATGCTGCCTTCATCGGCCTTGGCAAATGAATGACGCAGTACCCCTGATGTGCGGTCGATCCATCTCATTTGTTGATATCATACTATACTATCTACATGGATAGTATGATCACCAGGTACGAAGACATCCACCAAGTACCGGAGCCAAGGCACGGTAGCTACCGTATGATGCTGGTGAGTGTTGACTGTCACGGCTACCCGAGTGCTCCGTAGTAGTACAACCGCCATCAGTCGATCGATATACTTACTCCAGTCCGGTGTCTCACTAAGCGAAGTAAACAAACCAAAGCGGATCATCGACGAAAGCAGACTAAGAAGACGAGAACAGCCTCTAACAGCCTCATCTGCTCAGCCCGATTGACATCATACGCTCATAGCGATCGACCCGCGACTGCCCCAGGAATGGACGAGGCTCCTCGTTCCCCCCCTTTTTTTTTCGTGTGAGATTAAGCGTTCCCGTATACTTCGTTCAGAGACGACGAACCTACCTTTTGGATCATGCAACTTTCAAGGGGAAAGGAGAAGGGCAGACTCAGGAGCTAGCATCACCGCCCAATGCGGCGATATGCACGGGGGTAGAATATAGCCGGATATGATACCGCAGGGATACGGACGCTGAAACCGAGTGAAACGAGGGGGAGACCTGTCTGATGCGGTGACTGACTTGACTTGACTTGACTTTGCTTACTTGCAGTTGCAGTTGCAGGAAACCCCGATTCGATCAGAAAAATCTTGCTGCAGCCTGCACCTGACTCTTGTTGTGTGGAAGTCTGGGTGAGACTTTTCCTCCGTGCAGATTAGGATTTTGCGGGGAGGAGGGAAACAGTTCCCATCCATGCAGAAGATCCCTTGGCATCGGTGTCTTCCGGGTTGAGCAGTAGTATCTATCGTATAGTATAGTATAGTATAGTATAGTATAGTATATTGCTGGTCGTTAGTTGGTATAGGCACTGATGGAAATTATCAATTCCAAGCATTCTTGATTTGACGGTAGTCGCCATGCTGCTCATGGCGAGTTTCCGTATAGACCTGAACCTGAAGCCCGAGACTCTCTTCCCTATCCTTGATCCCGAGTGATATGCGGAGTCAACAAAATCGCGCACCCTCCTTCAGCCTTACAACAACGGATGACAGACATGCTGAAGGCTGAAGCCCGACGCTGCAACCGCCCTGCTAGTTCGGGAAAATTCTTCGAAACCAAACAAAACACAAACACAACCGAACCTTCGAAGCAGAGTTTAGTGTCGGCGAACCATGGCTCGTGGACGGCGAAAGCACGTCGTGTGTGGTTAACCATACATTATCATCATGCAGGAGCAATAATACCATACGTGGAGGGGGCGAAAGAGCACATCTCATTGAACGGGATCCGAGGGTGCTTTTCCTTACCTTACCTGACTGACTGTGCCACGAACGGGAGACGGTGCCGAATCCCGTGAGGGTCGGGTTGGCCGATGGATGCTGCTACTGCTGCTGCTGCTGCTGCTGCTGCTGCTGCGACCCTGAATTGTGCCGAGGGAAAAACGCCGAGCTGCCACCCACACTCACACTATCGAATGATGAGCGAATTTCCCTCCCACCGGACGCAATCAATCAATAGGTAATAATAACGATACTACTAATCAATCCCATGCATTGTCAATCCCCAGTCGGCTCCCGCTTTGGGAACAACCACACGCGATAAGCCAAGCCCGTCTACGTATGTACTGTACCTTCTGCCGATTTACCCATTCCCGACCGGCTGCGACTGCAGAGAACCAGAGACGTGAGACTCGCGCAACGATCGCATTGGCAATTAAAGGTCAATTCGAGGTTCAGCCGAAGAAAACAAAACAAGAAAGGAAAAAGAAACCCAATTGCTTGCTGCTTTGTCAGGCTTCATTCGCCCGTCTTGCGTCTTTTTTTCCGGGTGCGAGGCGCACAGCACCAACTCTACTATTCTTTCCCCCCCCAAGATTGCAATCTCAGGCGAAATCTCCACAGACCTGAGGAGCCGTAGTCCGCACTGCCAGGCACGGCCCATAATTCCCCGAATTCGGCCTCGGACTAAGCCCGATCCAATCTCTTTAATTCCCCGCCCCGAGCGACTTTGAGGAAGAAGGAAGGAAGGCATACGCACCCACGGAAAATTATTCTTGCCGTCGATAGAGAGCATCTACCCTTATCAGACAAGTGTGTTGGTTGGTGCGTTCTCATCCATCTGCCTGCATGCTGCAGCCGACTATTGGCGTCCTGCTAGTATCGTCCCGGTGGGCTGCCACCGTGGCAGGTCCCCTGTTTCTTGACTAACACCAGTCCACCTTGTCGCGGAGACTGCAGACTGGAGAACGGAGACTGGAGACTGGAGACGTGCAGAATGAGGCGGGATAAGGGACAAGACAAGAGAAAAAATCACGCACGCATGGCGGCAATGTACTCCGACGACTGCTCATTTACTTCGGAGAGGTGGAGGAGAAGAACAACAACAGCAACAGATTGAACTGCCAGAAATAGTCATCATCTTGATCTCTCCCTTTTAGCAGGATGATACCCGTCAGCAGCTGCTGCTGCAGTTCCGGGATTCCGTCCGTAGATTTCCCGTCAGGGTAAAGCATTTGAGCTCGATGGTTGGATATAATGGGGGAGCTGGGGGAGATGTCGCGTAGGTACCAGGTAGCTTGTCAGACTAGGCTAGTGGTCTGGCAGCTATCTATTCTAAGGATCGAGTAGCTGCTGCGGTTAAAATCCCTCCAGCGTCGTTGCTCGTTTTGCTCGGTTTCTCCAACATTGGCATTGGCTGCTGCTCAAACTGGGGACGGCTGGCCCGTTAATTATTGTCACGGTGGGTGGGTGTGGGATGGAGCTCCCGATGAACAGTAGGAGCTCCCGTCCGTGGGGGCAGTTTATGGAGTCCAGTTACTGAGTCCTAGTCCACTGGAGTCTTTAGAACGTGAGCCCGCCTCTCGTGTGTCTCACCCTCTCGCTCGAGATCCATGGGGGGGGGCAAAAGGACGGGGAAGAACGATCGGGATGACATATTTGCCTCATGGCAAGCTGCACAAATACCCTTGTGCAGGGTCTGGACAAATAGGAAGGCTTGGAGAATCTGCACGCTGTGATGCGGCGCGGCGGAAAAATTAGGAGCAGATGTGCTCGTGTTATGCGACATGCCAAACCATCAGACGGGAACGTCTGGGTTGTCCTCGTTGCTATCCAGGGCTCTTTGCGGGCGCGAGAAACCTCGGGTGAAAGCGCGGCGCCTGCCAGACGCAGACGACAACAACAACGACAACGTCGACGACGACGACAGACAACTTGACTCGACAGAAAATCCCTCACCCAGATCCTCCTCGATGAGACAGCTTGGCGCGGGCGATCGCCCGGTGGGGAGAGATTTATCATTTGAGCGAAAAGCGAAGTAGTGCCGGAGTGCCGGAGTGGGCAAAAGGGCACTAACCACTAGTCATCAATCCTCATTCATTTTGGGGGCGCTAATGGGCGGTTCCCCAATTAACGCCGGTGAAGATGGGAGCACAACCTGTCCCGTTCCTGGTCGGTGTGGTTTAGTCCCAGTTCTATGGGGATTCTGAGAAGGTCGCTACTCGCTAGTCCCCTAGCCTCAGTCACTACTGTAGGTACCAGAAAGCCAAGAGTGAATCTACTGTGGGCTGGCCGCCTCTCTCCGTGGTCGCTCCACGGTCGCGATCGTATTCGTGAGAGGGCAAGGCACTGGTGGCAGCCCAGCTCTACCGAGGGCAATTGGACAATGGCGATTGTGTCCAACTTGTAGCGCTCCATTTGATATTATCGAAGGTTCATAGGGCCGAACTTGATGACAATGCCATACAGGACTGATATGCACTGATGCAGGGCATTTTGTGGGATCGACTGTATCATATTACCCAATAGATACATAATTGCCTGATCAGGCATGGTGTAATACACCTAGCCCTGTCTCGAACGGAGATTTGCGCGACTATTCCATTTCCTCGGAGATGGGTTGGTGAACGGACAAACACGCGCGCGCACACACACACACACACACACACACAGACAACGCAACATAATTAAACAGAGGCAGAGGGTGAGTGAAAGGGAAAATTTCCCGAGAAGAGAAGGCGAGAGCTACCAAACTCGCATTAATTATTGGCAAATTGCCCCCAAGACTATCCCCCCAAATCAAATCAATAGTCCACAACAATCGGTCGGCCATCCCACACAGACCAACTGCCCCCCCCCTCTTCCCCAATTCATCTCCCCTTCAGCCTTCTTCGCCTTTGCACTGTAGTCAGTGTGCCAGGAAGAGGCCGGGATTGATTTCTCTTACCCGATAGGATCTCTTATCGGACAATCGGGCAAGGTATGACGTCGTGGGCGGTTGCCTCTCAAAGTCTCCAAACCCCTCCAACGAATAATGCCACCTGCCGATTTCCGACCCTCGCCAACTCACCCTCGGATTTGCCTCCTCCCCCTCCATCCCCCCTGTCTTTTCTCCTCACCAACCCACCAGACTCCCATCTCCCCGAACCCGGGCGGCAACAATCCACGCTGATTCGACTGGAATGCAGCTAGCAGAGCCCAGGACCCAGTAGAAGAAGGATTCTAGAAAACGTCGAGAACGGCAAATCTGCGGTCAGGAAAGCAACCTGCCCGCCTGCCCCTCACTTGTGCCATGCTATCGGTGCCTCTGGTGGCGACCGGATTGCCCGAGTGAGTAAGGCGTGGCCCCGGCCTTTCTCTCAGATGGAGAGAGATGGAGAAATGCCCAGTCTCCAGTCTCCAGAGGATGGAGGGAAGTCTCCCGGTGGGCAAACGAGCGAGATAAGAGTCATTACTAACGATGCTTTGGGCGTTAGTCTGGTCTTTAGCCGGCCGCTAAGGATTTACTCCGACTTTGGGTTTAGCCTACTCCGGACTCTCGCACCACTCTCAGTCACCGTGGAATAGCCTCACTTATGGCTCCATGCGGGATATAATGTCGCTCGTTAATGGAGTGACCGCGTCGTCACTCGGCGCGATCGCGCTGAAACGGCGTCGACAAGGCGCGCGATCGACTACTATGCCGTGCCGTATATGCATCTGGATCTCTGGGGTGGGAGTCATCTAATGTAGGTCTCTATGGAAGAGGAAGACTTCTTGCGGTGTGTCTGTTGATCTGCTGTGGGATTATCAAACTCATGCCTCACGTGTTGGCGCCTACATACATAGTAGTACGTCGTCTGCTCCACGATCTCGCAGACCGTCCCTTTGTTCAGAGCCTCAGGCTCAAATACCCCGGAGGCATAGAACACCCATGGAAGCGTCCTTACATCTGTCAGAGACTTGTTTCAACCACCAAACTACCGGTATATAGATGTCTCACGTGCTGCTGGATGAAGTCTGACGCATTGAGTATCAAACGCTCAGACATAACCAATTCATCTCATTCGATTGACAAGCTGGGCTGGCTGGATTCAAAGAATAACAATGAGAGAAAACCTTCGTCGCATCCCACCCGCTGGTTCAGGGTCGAACTGACATCCCGACCGAAACCGCTCGTTCCACGGTTAGCTGTGGGGAGCTTCCTTTGGGTTAGGTAAAATTTACCGCAGCCACTAGATTGCACTAGGCCCAGGTACCTTTTCCTAGGTGGGAACCAGTAACAGGTACCAGGTACACTCTGTGTTGCCCGTAACCGCGATGTATCGGGTCGATACCGCTAGCATTACTGGCGACGGCCAGCATTGTTAATGCCACACCCTCTCTAACACACGCAATGCGCACACACCGCGCCCCAAACTCCACTGCTCGCATCGGGGAAAGCTGGGTACTGTACTGGCTGTACTGGATGGAGGTAACCTGAATTACCCTCAGCTCGGACTCACGTACTACGACATGATGTTGCCCGGCCACTTACTAGAACGAGAACCAGAATTGGGACTAGGTCTAGTCATAGTGAGACTGAGACGCGACTACCATGACTGACTGCACTGCAGGTGTACTTTGTACCTTTTGAGTAAGTACCTTCACTGGAGCTAATTTGGAGCTACCAAGCTAGCTACTAGGTACGGATAGCTTCCTACCTAGAAGGGGAATGTAGCTCTCGACCTCGTCCTGCTCCCTCTCTCCACTTCAATCCACCAGTCCACCTTTCAATGACTCCATAATGAGATTTGTAGCCACCAGGACAGTATTGATGATTAACTCTCCAGGTAAGGTAGGTAGCTGGCTCGGAGCTATGCTATCTCAGCTGACCGGCGCTGATCCTCCCTACCCATCCAATGCTCCAGACTCTCTCTCTCTCTCTCCTCTTTCTCCAGACTTTCCTAAGACATCGAGGCAAAAAGAGGGTCTAATCAACTGGTCCGGTAGATGAAACTCCCTCAACGCAGCCGGGTCACGCACCTCTTTCCCCCAGGAATACTACTCCGGCCACTTCCTTCTTCCCCCCGGGGGAGAAAAGCGACCAAGCAAGAAACAAATGGCCGGGAAGAACGAGACAAAGAGAGAGAGGGGAGCAGATGGGGGTGGTCTTGGCTGACGTTGGTTACATGCCTTTGTTTCCTCCTCCCCCCCCCCCCGGCCGTCCGTCCATCTATTCTTAAAACCGACTTTAACCTTCCCCGGTAATGGATGCGACCGCGCCGGGCAACGGTAAGATGAGACGATAAACAATGACTGAAATCCTTGATTTTGCTTGCTTCGTGATCGCAACATCCTTTGGGTTGATGAGGTCGGTGATTGCAAAGGTTGGGAGTGACGAGGATAAGGTGAAAAAGGGGGACGTGCACGGATAGAGAGGGTATGGGCGGGAGTGGCTGGAACTGAATGTCACACTTTCATTATGAGATGAGAGGATCAGATACTGGCAGCTGAGCTGAGTTCTGGTATACCAAAAGTTATGGAACGGAGACGGAAACAGTATGCGGGAGAGGGAGGGGAAGCATGCTTCATTTGATTCCCTTTCCATGTTTTTGACTGATCCAGGAACCTTTGCCCTTCCTTCCTTTTCCCCCCTTCCTTCATTTTTCTTATACGCAGACGTTCTGGAATTCTTTGTTCGAGGAAGGGATTCCATTGTCCTCCCCCTTTCCCCCCCCGGGTTGCGCTGAAGATGACGATGACGATAATGATGATGATGATGACACTTCAAAGGTACTATGTAGTCTAGTTGGCAAGACATCCGGGGAATGCCGCTTAATCCGGTGGTATGATGATATTGCAGGCCGAACGTCCACAGCGCCTCATAACGGAGCTGCTGGCCCCAAATCTGTGGTGATGAACTCGGGGTTCATTTCACCTTTAGACTTACTTTTCTTACTGTGCGTGTAGTGTACACAAGTTTTGTGTGTATTAGTTATTTGGGAGAATTCCCGCCGCCTGGCGATGACCGCGATGAACGAGAGAGAGGACTTGATCCTTGAAGCGATCATCAGTAATGACCGAGTTACTCAGTATATCGTACCTAGGTAGTATTGTGGCTGCTTACGGGTATTTCTTGTTTTTCTCCCAGAGTGCAGCACTGCGCCCGGCTGTGGTTTCCGGCTGAAGCGGAATACAATACAAAAGAGGTGCCTCGTGTTCTATTACTCATAGTATGGCACTGCATAATCACTGAATCCTATCAATGACGAGAGGTATTCATTCGTGTCTTGTTTCATGATGTGTATAAACTCTATCACTGGGCAGCTCCTACCAGGTCTACTTCGTAAGGTGTATGGAAATATCCCCGACCGGGGTTAGGTTGACTTAGCATCCGCACCGTCATTGGTCAATCCCTGCTGCGCTCCGATGCGTGCCGTCCTCCGCAGTCCGGGTCCTCCCATCTCCATCCAGGCTGTAGCTTTTGCCTCTAGCCTTTCACTCAGTTACGGACGGAGTCACGGTTCGATGTTCTCCTCTCCTCTCGGGCGAGTCGGCAGTCTGGGGGTCGGGGTTTGTGGGAGTGATGGATACCTAGACTAGTACCTAGTTCCTAGTTACCCCGTTGAAAGTACGGATTTAAGTTGGAGTCATACGGAGTCGGAGACTCTGTATCCAGTAGTGTGCTGTGCTTGCTTGCAGCACCCGGGGAGGGAAGACCGAACCGTACGGAGTTACTACTCACTGCAGTTATGGGATATATATCCATCTCCCTGATGGGGCTTGGGTTTACCGAGTTAGAGTACGGGTGTTGTACCTTAGCAAGGTTGGTTGTATCTAGGTCGCGGGGGGTAGATGGAATAATTGGTTAGAATTACGTAGAAGAGTAGACACTAGAAGTAGAGCGGTTCCGTTCGAGAGCGATTAGAGCGATTATGGTGCATGTACGAGATCCAACGTCCACCGATCCCCGAGGGAGGAGACACGGAGTACTTAGACTACGGACGGAGTGAAGATGGTTTCTATCTGAGTGAGTGATTTGAGTGAGGCGCCCGCGGGCAGGGTTGATCATTGACCGGACCGGATCGGATCATCCCTCCGTGCGATTACTCCTGCGCACTGTACTGTACTTTTTTGTTAGTATTTTGAGATGGAATGGGATGGCATGGCATGGCGGTAGAAGAAACCGCCAAGCATTGATATCACCCTGATGGGTTATTGTGGTTGTTGTGCCAAGAGAGGATTATTGAACCGCTTGATATCTCGTGAGTTATCCTCAGTCGGTCGGTTAGATGGTGATCAATAGATCTTGTAGGGGAGTGTCTGGTGGGGCTTGGCACGTACTCAAACCATAACACAACACAACACTCTAAGACAAGCCTTATGCGCGAGGGGGAGGGAAGCTTGCTTCCAGGTGCAGGTAGGTCGGTAACCATTCACTTGTAGGGATCCCCGCGGTCGGTCTAGATGGATGTAATGGGCTCTCATTCGGTGGGCCAAAACCGTTCACCCTTGCTTGACTGGGATTGAGTCTCTTGGTGACCCGTGGTCTAGACATCATAAGAAGCCGTCGGTTGGTTGGTCGGTTGGTCAAATCGGTCGATAAGAAAGAACAACACTGGAAACCTGGAGGATTTTCCTCGATCATCACGATCTGGGGGAGGACGAGGACGAGGACGAGGGGCGAGGGATGAGAGGCGGAGAAGCATCCCGTGCGGGCGGCTACGTGGTGATGCTGGTGGTCGTGGTCGTGGTCGTCGTGCTGTTGCTGCCGTCTCGGTACTCCGTAGTATGCCATGCATGCAGGAAGGCAAAGAGGCGATCAGACGGAATCCCATCTGCACGCTCCAATTGGAAAATGTTTGGGGTTGGTTTAACTTCACGGCCGTGGTCGCTGATGGCGGTCGGTCTCTTCAGGTTTCCTGGGAGAGGGAGCAGTTCTAGGGCAAATAATTGGCTTTTTACTAGGTACTCGTTCTGAGTATTCGTTCCGGCTGAGTGACGCAGTCATTTGACCTTGTTAACTGTTTCTTTGTGGTGTATACACGCTGAGATGTGTTATATGTAGGATGTGTATATTTTGTGGTGGTGGTAGGGTAGGTATACTGCTGGGCTGGGCCAAGACCGGGGGTTTTTGGCTGGCTGGACCGGGCTCCTCCCTGTTCAACATCCATCACATATCAACTACACTATCTAGACGATAACAGGCAAGTCGTGGTCATGCATGCATGTTCTGCTCTGTTCTGTACTCCAATCGAGAGACAACCTGTCAACCAGGTGGGCGTCGTACGAGATCAGGACAAAAGTCCCAAAAGAGAAATAGCGGACCGGCAGATGGGATACACAACACACCGTGGACCTTTGCGCCGAGGGCGGCAGCTTGCCGGTGTTCGATCAGTAATCTGGAATAAGGTCTATCAGATAATCACCAAAGAATACACACTCTGTATGTAGGTCAATGTACGGTAGTTCAGTGCGGGTGCAGTCTGTATACACTGCACGCGACAACGATGATGTATGTAGTCACCGGGTGACCAAAAATGACGATTGCCATGATAATGGACAATGGCCTAGTGTCACTATCTCGTAGTCTACCGATTTGACTAGTACTAATGCTATCTGCGCTCATTCTTTGCCTGAGGGATTGGAAAGAGATCCGGGTTCTCGTCTCCGTACTAGTCAGATCGAGAGGTCGACGGCGGCATCATCTTTCCGCCACTAGATTGCTACTGTCCAGTACCTCATAATATTAAGAGCATCGTAGATGGCTGTTATGATGACGACGGTGGTGTCTCGACGGTCGTGGTTATAGTAGTAAGTACATATTAATAGCTACATGGCTGAATTCAGAGCTACAAAGCTACATTGATACTCTAACTAGTGCTCATACTCATAATTAGAGAAGGTCGGGCGGAGTCGTATCCCGACCTTCTCAGCCATTAGCATGTCAAGATGACGATGGGGTCGGGTCCCGAGTTCCCCTTCCCCCCCATCCCCACGACCAAGAAGGAATTGCATGAAACTCAATCAGGGCGGGCAGGATACGATTGGCAGTTCGAGGTTAATGCCAATTGAGAGATGCAGTCGAGAGAGAGAGCCAGACGCGCCAATCGTCACACACGGCCATAATCATTAGGTTGGATGAGAGAAAGGAAGGCAGCTTGGTGGCCGATCGCCTTCCCTTTCTCATGTTGGCGTGCGTGCGGGATCTCTAACTGTCTACGGTAGGGTGTGAGAGTAGTATGCGTAGACGGGAGCCGAGACGAGAAAACCTGCTGCTGTACGCATCTTCTCCGTTCTTGAAGGAAGCGGAAAAGCCGATTGTGGGATGGTGGACTCGATAGGTAGACTAGCTAGCCCTGGAGAGGGGGGCGTGGGGACAAGTCTGACTGGTGCGTAGTCGGAAGATAACGCGAGGTGATTCAAACTTGTAATAGCCATTGATAACGAATGATGGGCCAGGCATAATAATCCCGATGACATAACGATAAGTTATGGGTTGGTCGACATGAGATGCAATCCCGTCTCCATGTGTTGTCGGTGGGTGTGCATTACTCGAATCGTGGTTGTCCCTGACACTCAATTCCGCCTTCATCATCAAACCTGGACCGGGCCCCCCCTTTCTTCTCCCCCGGAAACATCACGAACGACGATGTCAGAAGAAGAAGAAGAAGGTGATGAAGAATGAGTGCCAGACAGGCGGGATCATTGGTATGGGACCATTGTTCATCAAACTTGCCCATGATGATGTCAATCTAATTTCATCGGGGAGGGAGATGAGCATCATCATCATCGAAGGCAGAGCTCACGGACCGTAAATTGTTTGGGCTGTTTTGGCCCTGCATGGCCGGAATTGGTATCGTCTGGGTTCTTGGAACCGCCCCCCCTTGCGTTCCCCGTTTGGCTTCAGCTCGTGGTCCCCCAAGATCGGGTAGGACGGCCCTGAGCGAGTGCAGTCACTGCAGTGTATGGTGCCGTGGTATTTCGAGGGCCATCCAGAAATGGATGAGGGAGGAAGAGGAGGTATTTCCAGCTGTAGCGTGGTTACAGTAGTATGAGTATACGTAGTAAAGTAAGAAGCCCCTCGGGGCATTTCATGTAGCTTTTCTGGCTGACTCGGGTTGTTTGTTTTGTATGTTTCTTGTTCCTCTTCACAGCACATCCACACACTCTCTGTATGTCTCTGTCCTTCACTTTCATCCCCTGCTGCAAGGGGAACGACAGGACTATGGAGCCCTTCTTGTCCCGATGTCATGGGCCTGCACAAAAGAGCATAGGGAGAGAGGGATGTACATTAGGTCTAATTATTGCATTCAAGGGTGAATGCCAATCATAACGCTGATTGCAGTTGATACTATACACCGTCCGTAGTCCAGCAAGTAGTAAGCTCCTAGGAGATAGCATTTCGATGAGATGATAATTATTACCATCATCAAACGTGTGCGGTTTCCCCTCTAGTCCTTTACTGGTGACGGACTGAGGAGGACTAGAGAGAGACGAGACGAGACGAGAGAGAAAATCGCGCATAGTAAAAAGCGAGAAACATACGCAGAGACAGTACTCCGTAGTAGAGATGGGAACAGCGAAGACAAGACAAGCCAACAAGAAAGAGAGGGAAAATTAACGAGGGCCACACTACGGACGGAGTGCTACTACAGCTACTACCACTATGTACTGTACAGAACGAACAACAACCCGCACGCGGCAAGAAGGGCTGGCTGCCGCTGCTTGTGGTTCCTGTCGGTACAACCCGTACCGTACGGAATTTCCTTTTTCTTGTTGTGTGCTGAGTGTGCAGTGTGCGTTGTTCTGTCCACGCACCCCAGCCCAATGGGAAGCACATCCTACTACTACGCCCGCGTCTGTACTGTACCTGCGAGGCCGACCTTGGCCCGCAGAGCCGTTCGATACGACAGTATTATTACCATCTGCATACCAAATGACCCCAGCCAAATGTATGGGAAGCGCGGGATAATGAGACGTTCGGGTGGTATTGGGACGGTAAACCCGAGATGAGTTTACTTCTCACCCACTGGACATCCCCTCGGACTTCACGTAAGCTGGGATGAAGCGATAGGAACAGTGGGAGGGTGGAGGCAAACTCGGCACAGGTCTGCCGGTCACGGGGAGAGAGAGAGAGAGACAGACACACACAGAGAGACAGAGTGCGTGCGTGAGAGATAATAGACGACGGGCGTAAAAGGTCAGAGTTTTTGTTTCTATCGCCCAGGACTAGACTCGAAGGGGCAAACTTGATTCCCCACTGGTACAGGCAAATGGTACTGGGGAAGGAAGTGCAGAAGAAGAAGAAGGCTAGAGAGGGTAATGGAAGAGACGGGCACTACTGGTACTGGTACTGAGTACTGGGTATTGGTACTGACTGACTGGGTAGGCTAAGTTTTCGACAAAATGACCTCGGTCGGCATTCAACTTCCTACCGATGCGTGCCGTTAAGCGTGGACAGTGAGTGAGTGTGAGGCGAAATTGGAGAGAGATTGACCCAGTTGGGAAAAACCTTACCTTACCAGGGACAGCGAACTTTCGATCAGCTCAGTCTTAGTGGCTGCTGTTCCCGGCCAAGGACTAGAACCAAGAAGGCTAAATTCAAAAGGGTAAAGAAAAATTAAAATGAAAGGCGAAGAGAGGGAAAGAAAAAATAAAATAACAAAAAAAAAATAAAATTACTTAGTACAAAAACGGAACCGGGAAAATAATCGACAAAATTTGGAAAAATCTAGGAAGGCAAAGGCAAAGGCAAAAAAAAGAAAAAAAAAAAAAAAAAAAAAAAAAAAGAAAAAAAAAAAAAAAAAAAAAAAAAAAAAAAAAAAAAAAAAAAAAAAAAAAGTGGGCTTACGCACAGGGAAGGTCGCCCGCCCGTTGGAGCTTAGAGAACAAGACGTGTTTGTCCTGGTCCCGTGCAATCGCAAGCCCACCCTCCCCCAGAATATTAAAGAGTACATTCTCCCTCCCTTCCATCCCCCTCTCTTCTCTTTCTTCTCTATAGGATCATCCGACTCTTGCCATCCCTGTCATTCCTCGTTTGCATCTGCTCATATCGTTGGGTCCCTAGGCTGTGTGAGCCGAGAAGCAACAATGGCGGAGCGGAGAATCTCCTATGCTCCCGACGTGGAGAATGGTGACCATTCTCGCAACAACGAAGGTGGTGAAGGTCTTGAGGAATATGCTGCTTTGAACCGTTACATCTCGACTGCCCAGGGCAAGCGCCGTGGTTCGACTTCCAGCGCTGGTGCCCTCAGCACCGGCAAGAAGGAGAAGAAGGGTTTCTCTCTCTTCAAGAAGAAGACCGATGGTGCTGAAGATGGCTTCGTCTGCCCCGATGACTGGCTTGAGACCGACATGCGCGCCGGTCTGCGCTCCAGCGACATCGATGTCCGTCGCAAGAGAACTGGTTGGAACGAGTTGACCACCGAGAAGACCAACTTCTTCGTCCAGTTCATTGGTTACTTCCGTGGTCCTATTCTTTATGGTGAGTCGCTCATCGATTCCGTTCGCCGACGTCTCAAATGGCCTCAAACTAACCCGCGCCTGCGTCATAGTTATGGAACTTGCTGTCCTGCTCGCTGCCGGTCTTCGTGACTGGATCGATCTTGGTGTCATTATTGGTATTCTTATGCTTAACGCTGTTGTCGGTTGGTACCAGGAGAAGCAGGCCGCCGATGTCGTCGCTTCGCTCAAGGGTGATATTGCTATGAAGGCTGTTGTTATCCGTGATGGACAAGAGCAGGAAATCCTTGCCCGTGAACTGGTTGCTGGTGATATTGTACGGTTCCCCCCCCTCTCCAGTCTCCGCTTATCTTGCGAGCTGCAAACTAATCTGATTCAAATCTTTAGGTCGTCGTTGAGGAGGGTACCATCGTCCCTGCTGATATCCGTCTTATCTGCGACTACTCCAAGCCCGAGAACTTCGAGACCTACAAGGAGTACCTCGCCACCGTTGGCGATGACACTCTCAAGGAGAAGGAGGATGAGGACGACGAGGATGGTGGCATCGAGGCTCGTGCCGGTGTCTCCCTCATCGCCGTTGACCAGTCCGCCATCACTGGTGAGTCTCTGGCTGTCGACAAGTACATGGCCGACACTTGCTACTACACCACTGGTTGCAAGCGCGGAAAGGCCTACGCCATCGTCACCGCTACCGCCAAGCAGTCTTTCGTCGGTAAGACTGCCGCTCTCGTCCAGGGTGCTCAGGACCAGGGTCACTTCAAGGCTGTCATGGACAACATCGGTACCTCCCTCCTGGTTCTCGTCATGTTCTGGATTCTCGCTGCCTGGATCGGTGGTTTCTACCGTCACCTCAAGATCGCTACTCCCGAGAACTCCGACAACAACCTTCTCCACTACACCCTGATTCTCCTGATCATCGGTGTTCCCGTCGGTCTCCCCGTCGTCACCACCACTACCCTCGCTGTCGGTGCTGCCTACCTGGCCGAGCAGAAGGCTATCGTCCAGAAGCTCACTGCCATCGAGTCCCTTGCCGGTGTCGACATCCTTTGCTCTGACAAGACTGGTACCCTTACCGCCAACCAGCTTTCCATCCGCGAGCCCTACGTCAACGAGGGTGTTGATGTTAACTGGATGATGGCTGTCGCTGCTATCGCCTCCAACCACAACATCAAGAACCTGGACCCCATTGACAAGGTCACCATCCTGACCCTCCGCCGTTACCCCAAGGCCCGTGAGATTCTCGCCCGCAACTGGGTTACCGAGAAGTACACTCCCTTCGACCCCGTCTCCAAGCGCATTACCACCATCTGTACCTGCGACGGTGTCCGCTACGTCTGCGCCAAGGGTGCTCCCAAGGCCATCCTCGCCATGTCTCAGTGCTCCGAGGATGAGGCTGACAAGTTCCGTGAGAAGGCTGCTGAGTTCGCTCGCCGTGGTTTCCGTTCCCTTGGTGTTGCCGTCCAGAAGGAGGGTGAGCCCTGGCAATTGCTCGGCATGTACCCCATGTTCGATCCCCCTCGTGAGGATACTGCCCACACCATTGCTGAGGCCCAGCACCTTGGTCTGTCCGTTAAGATGTTGACTGGTGATGCTCTTGCCATCGCCAAGGAAACCTGCAAGATGCTTGCCCTGAGCACCAAGGTCTACGATTCCGAGAAGCTGATCCACGGTGGTCTTGCTGGCTCTGCTCAGCACGATCTCGTTGAGAAGGCTGATGGTTTCGCTGAGGTCTTCCCCGAGCACAAGTACCAGGTCGTCGAGATGCTCCAGCAGCGTGGTCACTTGACTGCCATGACTGGTGACGGTGTTAACGATGCTCCTTCCCTCAAGAAGGCTGACTGTGGTATCGCCGTCGAGGGTTCCACCGAGGCTGCCCAGGCTGCTGCCGATATCGTTTTCCTTGCCCCCGGTCTCAGCACCATCGTCGATGCTATTAAGCTTGCCCGTCAGATCTTCCAGCGTATGAAGGCTTACATCCAGTACCGTATCGCTCTCTGTCTCCACCTTGAGATCTACCTTGTTACCTCCATGATCATCATCGAGGAGACTATTCGTGCCGATCTTATTGTCTTCATTGCCCTGTTCGCTGATTTGGCCACCATCGCCGTCGCCTACGATAACGCTCACTTTGAGCAGCGCCCCGTCGAGTGGCAGTTGCCCAAGATCTGGGTTATCTCCGTTGTTCTCGGTATCTTGCTCGCCGCCGCCACCTGGATCATCCGTGCCTCCCTCTTCCTTGACAACGGTGGTATTATCCAGAACTTCGGTTCTCCCCAGGAGATTCTCTTCCTCGAGGTTGCCCTCACCGAGAACTGGCTTATCTTCGTCACTCGTGGTGGTAAGACCTGGCCCTCGTGGCAGCTGGTTGGTGCCATCTTCGTTGTTGATGTGCTCGCCACCCTCTTCTGTGTCTTCGGCTGGCTCTCCGGCGATTTCGAGCAGACCCACCCCCACGACAGCGCCGACTTCTCCGTCAACGGCGACGTCGACATTGTTACCGTCGTTGTCATCTGGGCCTACTCCATTGGTGTTACCGTCATCATTGCCGTTGTCTACTACCTCCTTACCATTGTCCCCTGGTTGGACAACCTTGGCCGCAAGAACCGCTCCCGCGCCGACACCCAGATCGAGAACCTGCTTGGCCACCTGTCCAAGCTCGCCATCGAGCACGAGCAGGACTCGCACGGCAAGTCCCGCTTTGTCCTGGGCGCTCGCGCCGAGGTTGAGGAGGAGGATTAAACGCTTGATTGCGCTCCATAATACCATCCCCGCTGGCTCACACTTGCTACGCATACATGCATGAGCTGGAACCCTACTCCTCCGGCTTGCTCATTTTACCCGTATTATAGACTTTTTTTTTTTCTTATTACCTGTTGTCTCTTTTACTAG